AGAAGTTCCGCCTTCTTATCTTCCCTTACTAACTCATCTTCTCTACTGAGCAGAGGGACCCATATCACTTGTCCTTTCCTTTCCCTTTCCCTTTCCTTTTCTTTCCATCAAAACTATTTGTAAAATCTCTTCTTTTTGTCTCAACTATTTCCTGCCAGCAGTAACTCCTTCTTTGCCTCAATTTTCCTGACTTTGTTCCCTATATGCATACACTATTCCCATGTATATTTCTTTGGTGACATGCCCCTCCTTCCATTTCCAGGATGGATCTCTTTTGGGCTTTAGATAGCTAAAAGTTCCTTGTGCAGCCACACCAGTTTTCAATGGCTCTCCTTATCTTTCCTCTGCTTGATGTTGAGCCTTTAGTATTATACCTTTTAGGAACTGCCAGCCACCTTTGGCCCCCTTTCATCCGAATTGGTCTTTCCATGGAAGCTAGTCTACTTCTTTTCTGAGTTGGCTAAAATTTGCTTTTTCTGAAGTCCATTATCCTTGGTTTACAGTTCTCATGTCCTCCTTTCCTTAGAATCTTGAATTCTGTCAGATCATGAACACTTCCTCCCAAGTTCCCAGTCCCTTTCACATTTGCAACTAATTCCTTCCTCTTGGTTAAAAGCAGATCCAAAATGGATTACCACTAGTTGTTTTCTCAACTTTCTGAATCATGCTAAGAACTTGTAGGATATACTGTGCTTCACATATTATATAATAATCTTCCAAAAGGTATCTGGGAAGTTAAGATCCTTCGTTAACACTTGCTCAAGTGTAATAGCTAACCTTGCTGCTTGAAGAATGCCTGACAAAAACAGACCAAACAAAAACAAAACAAAACTAGTATGTAGTTAACGTTGCACTCTATCTTAGGTTAAAATATTAAGACTGTAACTTCAGAATTATGAATTGTCCTTAAATTGTTAAATGATCCAGTGTTGAAGACCAGGGGGAACTGGAGCGTGACTTCTTAAAACTGAATTCAAATAGTTATTTAGAGAGTGTGTTAGTCAAGGGTGAGTATGAATGACAGTGTATCAGATTGATTCACCTTTCACTTCTAGTTTAGAAAACGTACCAATCATTGAGGTCCCATTCAGATTTAGAACACAAACCTTCTTGGTTTTTTTTTTACGTGAGCTGGAAGTAGAGTGTCTTGTGGAGTCACAGATCACAACAAAGGTATTTCAGCAGTAAGGAGCAGCTTTAGGAGACAATCAGCAAAGTTGCTTAGGGAGTTTTTAGCATTTATTTTCTAATAACTAGACTACACCAACTGTCTTGAAACTAGAATAGCTTCTATCATCTCAGTTATTTCAAACTCTCCGTGAACTCCTTTCATTCCACAAAGCAGAGAGACCTCACTACTTTTTCCATCTCCAAAGGATAAACAGAGCTACGAAAGCTCTGGCTGAAATGCGATTTGTATCAGAATACAGCTACATGCTCTCCTTCAGAAGAACTAAATTTATTTTGGTTTTAAATTGACCGAATCTCAGTTTCTTGTGTTTAAATCTCTTCCATATACAAGGGCAAGTTCAGTGCGTTAGCTGCATCCCTGACCCTTAACAAGGTGGAATGTGGACTTCATTACGAACATGGTTTAGAAGGTGGCTTTCTCCTGTTGCTCAAATAGCTGCAGACTCCTGCAAACCTTATGCCCCGAGAGCACAAATTCTCATGCTGACCCTGTATTGTCTCATTGCTCCCTGGTGCTTTCCCACTTCCCTCTGGACCTGTGGCTGCCAGCTGTCTCCTGTCTGAGACTTCAGCAGTAAACTCTTTGGGGCAAGGAACTGTCTTTTGGTCTGTTCGTACAGCACCAAGTGCAATAGAGCCTGGTTCATGACTAGGGCTCCTTGGGACAAGGATAATAGAGATAAACAACCCTGATCTGAATGAATAAGGCACAGCCAAACACAGCTCTAAACACAATGCAACTTCAAAGAGAACACAACTTATCTAAATGGAGACTATCCCTAAAGCACGAATTTCTGACCCCTCCCATCCCAGCCACTTACTTGCTAACCTTGGGGAAGCAGACCCATTCAGTGCTGGGCTCTGAAGGCTTCAGAGATGGAGGCTCTCACAGCCAGAAAATGGGTGAGCTCGAGAGGCAAGAACCCTTTCCTGAGAAGGCCCATGCTACCTTCCCAGTCTACTCCCACTCCAAGACCTCCAACATGCCTGGCCCAGATGCCAGGGGGAGGGTGGCTGCCAGGAGACAAATTGTTTGCAAAAGCTTAAGTCAGGGAATCTGAAGGGAGCTAACAGGAACAAGGTGCCCAGCTCCCACCTGCCACAGCTGGGCACGATTTCCCTCTCAGCCATGGTCTCCTATCCTGCTGCCCTTTGACACCTCTGCCACTCAGATGCGCTCACACCAGGTGTCTCTGTGCATGGGGTGATACCCAGCAAGAGGAGACACAGACACACTAGCTTTCAGGGCGCTCACTCCCTAAATCAGAGCATACTCACAGTGGCACAAGAGGCAAGCCGTCCCAGGTATGCGCTCAGGGTCTCAGATGTGGTTCCCAGCATGGCTACGATCTGTATTTAATAAGCTAGCACGTCTGTCTCCTCCAGCAGGGAATCACTCCCCAAGTGTAGGCAGAACCTCTTCTCCTCCCCCATCCTTGGCATGCCAAGCCACAGATCACCTGACTGAGCCCTACCTAGAACCTCCCTCCCCTGGCCAGTGCAATAAATGGGGGCGACTCGAAGACCTCACTAAGATGTGAGCATGCCTCACGCTGCACAGGCATCCGCATGGGCATCAGGGGCTGCCCCCAGGGGCCACTGAGTAACCCCTTGATCTTATTATTGTTACCTTGGCCCTTCCTCACCCCTTTCCCAATTTTCCTCTGTCAGAGGAGGACCCTCACCCATGGTGTCTTGTCTGAATTTAGGGTGGGACCAATGCAGCTAATCAGGCATTCCCTTGAAGCCCTGCTGGGCCAAACTGGTGGCAAGGCTGTGCCCAGGCAAATCCACTTGCAGGAGCCAGCTGTTCAATTGCAGCTCTCCAGTGTATGCAGCCAGGCCAGGTCCTCAGCTGGTGTCAAAGGGTGCAGCCCCACTGGCAACCATTAACAATCAACCTACACACTGATTTCAACAGAACTACACCAAGTTACACCAATGGAAGATCCAGCTCATGCCACTTTCCTTTTTCTGTGAGTTGCCTCACACGCGCCTGGGTACTTGTGCTAGCAACAGATTTAATAAAGGTTTGATTATACCACACACTCCTTCAGGACTTCTGATCTGATGCTCCTATTTTAAATCAATACTCTCAAATTCCACATTCACATGCCCTCCACAATGACAGGACCTGACTTCTAGTGAGCACGCATAGGCCCATTCGTGAATTGTGGGGTGTTTTGTAACTCAGTAGAGTTTACAACCTGAAATATTAACAAAATACACTAACGGAAGCATAAGCTACACAGGCGCACATTTATGAGGGTGGTAATTTACCACTCACTCCCTCTGCCTGTTACTTGGTCAACTCAACACTGAAATCAGAATTAGTGCCGATGTTAACAAGAAACAAATGCATCCTCATGTCCTAGTTGCGGGGATGTAACATAAAAGATGCTATAAAATGTACTGCAAGGAGCCATCTTGTGTTTGCAAGGAGATTGACCACTTAATAGGGCTTTTCCATTTCTAAGTCTGAAAAAAAGAAGAGAAAATTGGGCCAGCCTCTGGTATTCACCATGTGTGAACTTCTCCAATGTCCAAATGCCATGGAAGTCAAACCGGGGCAAAGTGACCTATCTGCCTTCCAACCAGAATCTCTTCTTGTGGCAAGGGATCAGTATGAACTATTTATGTGGGTAGGACAAGAGAACATGGTATTAGCCATTTTTCCTTCATGAACACTACATTATCTAAATAGATCCCCCTCCCTTGCATTCATTGCTCACACTCCTCCATCTGTGAAATGAATAATTCCTAAGGGTTCAGGATTCACTGGATTAAAAATGAGGGCTCAGATGGTCAACGTGGCCTAAGAGATATGGACACCCAGTTCCCTTAGACAGCTTGGAAAATCTCCGCTGCAGAGATAAAGTAACTGGCTCAAATCTAGGCCTGGAGCTGACTGCACGCAGTGGCTACACACCACTGCCAATTATTTTCTGTTGTCTTGCGAAATGAGTTCATGGTCTTAGCTTAGACTCCAAAGAGCAAGCAGACCCACCTCAAGGATCCATACTACCAAATCCACTATGACAACGGTCACCTTTGCAGACATTCTAAAGGAGGCAAAAATCTAAATGGCCCAAGAAGACTGAATATTTTTCTCACTAATAAGGCTAGCAGTCCCTAGAGTGTGGAAATGGAAGACATCTCAGGGAAACTTGTTGTATTGCCTACACTGAGCCCACGACTTTTTGCATTTGATTTAGCAGGTCTAGTTAAGACCTGCTAAATCGAATGCTGAGGGTGGCTCTGATCAGAGCCAGTACTCCTGGCAGTCAGGAGAGGTGAGGGAAGCTGATAGGAGCCTCCCTCTGTAAAGACATCAACAAGCATGGCTTAAGGTAAACTGACTCCACCTACATATTTTACGTAGCTGGAGTTGCATACCTTAACCCAGCCTTCCAGGCCTGTATCTATTGTGTATGCAGAGAACTCCAGTTTCTGGGCCTTTCGCAGACATAACAGTCCCTTTTCAAACAGTCTTTCTTTTTAACATCTATTGACAAGCTGTGAAGGAGGAGAATATATAAACATCACCGATTCTCAGGTGACGCCTCTTAAGTGTCAAGCATCTAGTGAAACACTGAGCATGAAAAGGCCCCAAAGAACATCTCAATTCCAAGACTGATGTCTTACTGGGAAGAGCCACTCCAACCAGCAACCAGGCTACCCACTCCCCGGGTTCAGGAGGAAAGATGTGGCACATGTCACTTCAACCTGACACACGTGGGCTAAGACAATAAAGGACTGCTGCTGTGTGGAGGAGAAAAGGTCCTGTGCATCCGGTCTCCACCTCTTACCTGATTCTTTCCCCGTCGCCGATAATTCCTCCTCACAAGGTTCTTGTAGTTCTCATTCTTCTTGGTCAAGTAGTAATAGAGCACGCAGTCTGCCACCGTCTGTAACGACAAAGGGAGCTACAGAGCACAGCAGTTTTGACAGTAGCATTCTGTCAGGGTGAAGGATTCCAGAGATGTGCATTTGTGCACGCATACATGTTTTCAGGCCCTAAGACAGCTGGGTTTCCCTGGAATACTGGAGGCTTGCAAGGCAAAAAACATTCCCACACCCAGACAGAAGCAGGCCTTCCCTTGAGAGCTTGGTAGGGGCCCAGCAATTTAGGGGAAATAATCAGCCCAGAAAAGAGTGAGGAGGAAGGCTGAGCCCCCATCTATGTTCAGGGCATCAGCAGCATATCACAAACTCAGCACCCAGCAAACTGTAAAGTGGTGAGCTGGGATCCCTTTCTGTAAGTGCGCCCCATCCCAAACAGAGCACTGGCAGTGTGGGAGCCCTCAGCAGCTACTGCAAGTCAGGCATGGACAATTAAAAGAGAAAAAACAGCAACATCTGTAACTAAGTAATAACTGAATCTAAATCCTTATTTGCCCCTATGACTGCACAGCACTTTTGGTGTGGACAGCTCTCCTCGACACTGTGTTTGGTGCTGGGCAGGATGGGAGGGCTGACCCCAGCAGCCTGAGACACGTCTATTGTCTTTAGCTGTAGTTATGCACCACATAACCCACCATATAACTGTCAGCCACCATTGTCTCCACCCACTACATGTGCTGGATTGAACACATTTCACTGTCATGCTGATGTATTGAGTCCTCAGCATTCAGAAGCTGTTGCCTGGATTCCAGTGACAATGCTAAGGGGCAGGCACAGGCCTAGAGCAACAACATCTGGGCCAGTTACATTAGAGAACAGGAGGAAAAAATGAAGGGTGGGATGGCGGGGGATATAATGGCACTCTAGTACAAAAGGCAGCCACACAGTGAGCAGCTCCGTAAACTCAGAGGGGGCTCTGTTGATTGGAAGGCTATTACCTGCTGTCACACCTATTGTAGTCGCGCAGAGAGAATAAAGATGTTTACAATAGAGAGTCTGGTTTGTCTAAGGTATTATTTAGATCCCTTTCCATAGCCCTGGTTACTTATTTACACACACTCTCTCTCTCTCTCTCTCTCTCTGTTCCAAAATCACTACAAACTATTACAAATGTAAATAACTAGTGGATTATGTTGTGCATCTCTGCCTGCCTCCCTCCCTTCCCAACAGATATGGGGATCTGCTCAATCCTGCAATTACAGCCTGCACAGTAAAAGAGTGTAACTCAAATTTCAAGATGTTTCTATTACTTGGAATAGAGAGCAGGCAGGTAGTACTATACTAGCCATGGCGGGACACATCTGGCTTAATGACAGGGAAGAACTGGGAAGGTCTTGCTGATTCATAGGCCATGTGCTCACAAAGCTTTCTAAAGCCTTTGTCTACTTTAAATAGAAGATCGCCACTGCTGCGATCAACCTTCCAGAGTTTGATTTAGCGAGTCTAGTTAAGACTCGCTAATTCATTGTGTTTTGGGGGCTGCTTTTCAAATACTCATTCCGCTTGTCCAACTACTGGGGCTCAGAAAAGCCCCTAGATGTAGATCAATCAGGAATACGCCCAGGGAGTTTGGGCTCTTTCAGTGTCTCCCCAGCACTAGAAATCTCTTGGTTCTTGATGGCTTTTAAGAATTAAATAAAGAAAAAATGATAATGGACGAGATTTCACATCATTTCTGGGGTTCAGCCCAGAGCTGAGACAGGAACCCCCTCTTAGTGCACGTAGCACATGACCAGATGGACTGTTTGCTACCCCTCCAACACATGACAGTCCCAGCCAATGGGAGATGCCTACAAAATGTGAGATAAAGCAAAGCTGTGGGTTTAGCTGTCTGAAGTATCCTGACACCTTAGGGCTCTGAATTCCAAATCACTTTAGAGTTGACTTCATCCTGCACCGTCATCCTAAACCAAAACTCAGCTACTTCATTTCATGTGGGGTCATACAGAAGAGACCATAAAAACTGAGATCCTTGCATGCTCTTGAAAGACACTTCTGTCTTAGCTTACTTCTAATGAAAGTAGGAATTTGCCATGGTGGTCCTGTCGTGAGGGCAGGGGACTGGACTCGATGACCTCTCGAGATACCTTCCAGTTCTAGTGTTCTATGTCTTTGTCAAGCATTGTCCCTCTTCTGGCTACTGTGCAGCCTGCTGGGTACCATTTTCTACCCCACCGGCTCCCCTTCCCCCAAAAGTGGCTACCTTTCCATGGTAGGTACAAAGTTTATAAAGTGACTCTGGTTCCTTTGTGTAAGAGGCTCTTTGGCCACCTAGGATAAAAGAAAGTTTTTCAACGGGAGGAATAGTTCTGCACATGTGATACTTTGGGGATGTATTCTAGAGAAACTCTTGAGATAAATAAGCAAGAGACAGATAAAGGGTTTAAAGTCACTTAGTTCCAAACCAAACATACTTACCTTCCGGTCCAAAAACGAAGCAATCACACCAAAATTTTTTGGATGCTGCATGAACCTATGAGAACAAGAAAGAGAAAGTTTAAATGAGAGCCCTTGCAGCTGCCCGTGTACTCCACCCCCTGGCAGAGCAAGCGTTGAACTAGTCAAGTCAGAGGGCAGTGGGGTGGTGGAAAGTCATGTAAGAGAGCCTGGGAGCCATGGCTTTCAATGACCTGGAGACTTCCCCATATACATTCTTAAGATGGACGATCTGCAAAAAAATGCAGAGGTTAGTGAAGCTGCTGCCTGCTGCTTGGTTTATTCTGCAGTTGAGTCAGGAGTACTGATGCCAAGACCACCAGCCTGCAGCAACAAAGACCCAGTGTGGCCTGGGAAGGGGGAAGAATGAGAAAAGGCTAAGCCGCATCGCTCATGCTGCAGCTGGCAGTGATGTGCTAAGGGAACACGGAATTAACCTATGGAGTCAAACCTACAGCTGCATGGGTGACCAGGTCTAATGGGCTGATCAGTAAACAAGTGCAGGCTGGGGATCTTGGACACCCTTTGAAGTGGTTGCCCAAAGCAGGGGTTTGCCTATAGCAAAGGGTCCTTACTGAAGATTTCCCTATAATTTAACAGCTTCATGCCTGAAAAGCATCCTAGGGTGCGAGATGGTGCTACATTACTTCTGCACTGGGCACCGGGGGTGAATGGTCTTAGAAAACTATTTCATGGGAAGTTCTCATGAATGCAATTGTGATCCATTATAAACGACCCCTAGCTCCTCTCTCCTTTCAACTGGTGTGGCAGAAGGCTGGCCACTGCAAGAAACAACCAAGGGATGACTCTAAGCTATGAGAGACAAAGGGTTCCAAAGTTTGCCAGCTAATGAAACTCTTCTGAACAGAGGCATCCTCACTCATGTATGTGAAAGCTTTGCTTTCCATGTGCTCTCTCTCTCTGTCCCCCTCTCTCTCTCTCCTTACCTTTAAAGGCAGTAAAGAGGTAACTGAACAGCACAACCCCAAATGGGAAGCACAGCCTGCTGTCACGAGTTACTTCAGCGTGTTGCTGGAGTCACAGGACAACACAAGTAGTTAGTAGGCCACTGAGTTACCCAAGAGTTTGACAGTGTGATGGAGGTTTGGAGGGACAGAACACACATGTGGGGCCAGTCTCTCCTTACCTTTAAAGGCAGTAAAGAGGTAACTGAACAGCACAACCCCAAATGGGAAGCACAGCCTGCTGTCACGAGTTACTTCAGCGTGTTGCTGGAGTCACAGGACAACACAAGTAGTTAGTAGGCCACTGAGTTACCCAAGAGTTTGACAGTGTGATGGAGGTTTGGAGGGACAGAACACACATGTGGGGCCAGCAGGCTGT